ACATAGGCATAGGCAAAAACTTCATGATGAAAACACCAAAAAGAATTGCAGCAAAAGCCAAAATTAACAAATGGGATCTAATTAAACTAAAGAGCTTCTGCACAGCAAAAGAAGCTAGCATCAGAGTGAACAAGCAACCTACAGAATGGGAGAAAACTTTTTGCAATCTACCCACCTGACAAAGATCTAATATCCAAAATCTACAAGAAACTTAAACAAATTCCCTATTATCTTTATGATACTAGACAGTGAATAAACTTGCCCCGTGATGCAAGAGAAAACACTATATCTATCTTCCAAGGTTGATTACTCAACAAAAATCCTCAAAAGGACAATCTGGATCAAAAGCCATCAGTCCTTCTGTTCACAAGAGGCCCAGAAATGTGAGAGACCCAGGGAGAACGGTCTCCCAGGAATCTTCACCACTCATTTCTACTTGATCTTGGCTTCTGGGAGATTTTTCCATTGAGTATCCCATGCCTTTAGCCACTCTGGTTAGTCTGACTGACAAAGGCTGGGGATGGAGGGAATCTCCAATGTCTCTTATAAAGCATTTAATAAAGGCTACTATCTACAGGACTCTAAGCAGCAGGATCAGGCTAATCTGTGGGAGAACCGACCAGTTGAACAAATCTGATCAACCATCTGGGCTTACCTTAGAGAAAGCTAGGTGGCTTGCTTTATAAGTATTTGTATTGATTTTTCTGCTTGGCCGGCAGCATTGATTCAGCCACAGCAAGATGTGTTAGCAATTACCCAGACTCCACCTTGGCCCATAACAAGGAAATCTAAGGTAATGCTATCGTTCACAGTAACCCTGGGTGGTGAGGTGAAGCTGGCCTGGGTGCATCTCAGGGCCATAGTAGTGTTTCCTTAAATATGCAAAAAAACACATACAAGACTTTCTCCTCCTAGGAAAAACACAAGTTACTATATTTGAGGGAAAGAGGACAACTTAATACGTGGCTTCCACATAAGAACTTCAGCCCCAGGGGCATACGTGGTACTTCTTGAAAGAAAGCACTGTTTGCCAGGTGCTATGGCTCACATCTATAATCCTAGCATTTTGGGAGGCTGAGGAGGGAGAATCACTTGAGCTCAGGAGTTTGAGACCAGCCTTAGCAACACAGCAAAACTCCATCACCACCAAAAATACCAAAAAATTAGCCTGGCGTGGTGGAGCATGCCTGTAGCCCCAGCTACTGGGGAGACTGAGGTGGGAGGATGGTTTGAGCTCAGGGGGCTGAGGTTGCAGCGAGCCAAGATCACACCACTGCATTCCCTCTGTACTGCACTCTGGCTTTGGGCAACAAAGCCAGACCCCTTCTTAAAAAAAAAAAAGAAAAGGAAAGAAAGAAAGAAAGAAAGAAAGAAAGAAAGAAAGAAAGAAAGAAAAGAAAGAAAGAAAGAAAGAAAGAAAGAAAGAAAGAAAGAAAGAAAGAAAGAAAGGAAGGAAGGAAGGAAGGAAGGAAGGAAGGAAGGAAGGAAGGAAGGAAGGAAGGAAGGAAGGAAGGAAAAGAAAGAGAAAGCACTGTTTACAATTTTGGGATTCACTAAGTGGAGCCTATATCCACTGGAGGGCACAGGTTGACAGTGCCTCTAATGAATGTACTGGCTGGCTGGCATTAATAGTATGCCAGTAATCCAGTCAATGTTAGGGTTCCCAAGTGGGCAGAGCAGCTTCTATAACAGCCTGAGCTTGCTACAGAGCCTTCTCTTGCTCTGGTCCCCACTTGCTCTGTTCCCCACTCTGTCCCCTGCAGGCAGGTAGGCAGGCAGGCAGGCTATGGGGAATTTTCTAGCTGGATGGAAATAGCTGGCACAAATGTGCTATATGTTGCCTTCAAAATCCAAAAGCCCTAACAAGCATTGTACATTTTTCTTTGTAGATGGCACAAGTGCAGCAACCTGTCTTTCACCTTGGAACAAATATTTCAACATTCTCCACATCACTGAACCACCAGAAACTTCACTGATGTGGCTGTCCCTTAATTGTTTTGGAGTTTCTTTCACTTTGCATATGTCTTCCTAAGGTATTCTAAACTACATGCTACTTCCTGCCTAACAGATGGAATAAGCATAATGCCATCAACATAATGGATTATCATGATGCTTTCTGGACTATCAAAGCAATTACAATCTCTGAGGACTATATTAGAGCAGAAAGCAGTATTGGCATTGCCCTGAGGCAGGACTGTAAAGGTATACTGTTACCACTTCCAGATAAAGGCAGGCGGCTTCTGCTATTCCTTGCAAACTGGCATGGAACAAAAGGCGCCTGCCAGGTCAGTAACTGCTTACCAAGTGCCAGGAGCTGTGTTTACTTGTTCCAATATGATGCTACAGATGGAAGAACAGCTGCAGTCGAAATCATTGCATGAGTAATTTTAGAATCACTCATATGCATTCTCCAAGATAGATCAGACTTCTGCACACTTCAAACTGCTGAATTAGATCAGGGTGTGATAGGTGCTTTTTTTGAAGTATTCTAGGGTGGTATGAATCTCTGCAGTTCCCTGTGGGGTGCAGCACTGCTTCTAGCTTATTATCTTAGTAGGGAGGAGAAGTTCCAGGGCCTTCCACATAGTTCCTCCTGCCATAATGACCCACATCTCTTTAATCATAGAGCCAATGTAGGATTCTGCCAGTTTCCATATATGTCTATTTCAGTGATACATTGAGCCACCAGAGATATAATGAATACATGTCTGTGGAGAAATTGGGCCCAGTGTGAGTTGGACTTGAGGCAAGACTTCATTTGTCACCTGACCACAGAAAGCCCCCACTTTGACTGGGAAAGCCACAGAAACACTGTCCTCAAGATTGGTGTCAATTCATAAGTAGTGTCTAGTGACTTCTGTGTTCACAATTTCTTATAAGTGTTCCTGGATATGAGTTTTAGCTAGGTTCTCAGAGGTAAAGCATGTCTTATGAAAATTTGATTGTACTTAGAGGCTGATGAAGACTTTCAAGAGAAAAGAAGACGACTGCTGATATGGTTTATTTCCCCTGATTTGACCTACCTTATACAAGCACATAGAGCTTATGTCATAAAAATATGCTGGGAATAGCTTAGAGGAAAGTGCAAATCACTCCACCCAGGGAAGGCCAAATGGGAGTAATGGGAGTGGGAGAAGGGAGAGTTGGGGAAAGATGAGAGGACTCTACTGGGGGAACCATTGGTCACCAGCTCCAGGTCAGGCCAACGGTTACAGACCATGCTGAGTTTCTCAGGCTGAGAAGTTGGGTTGACTGTTCTTCCCAGCACCTTCTGGTGAGGCCTTCTGTGGAGGACATACTCTAAGGTGGCCTCATGGGCCCCACCCCCCAGTGGTCATACCCTTATGTAATCCCCCTGTGTGGACAAGGCTTATGACTTACTTCTAACCAATAGCATATGGCAAAGATGATGGCATGTACGTGATATGTGTTTGTGATTACCTTACATTAGTTCTAGTAGCTATCTTGCTGGAGTCTATCTCTCCCTTGCAGTCATTTGGAGAATTTCATGTGTCAAGACACTGTGGGTAACCTCTAGAAGCTGAGATTGACCTCTAACCACAGCTTGCAAGAAACTGAAGTCCTCAGTCTATAATCACAAGGAATTGAATTCTGCCAACAACCTGACCAAGCTTGAGAGTAGATCCTTCCCCAGTTGAGTCTCAGATGAGACCACAGCCCCAATACCTTGATTGTAGCCCAGCAGGAGCCTGCCAACCCAGCCCCTGACTAAGCCAATGACCCAGCTAAACTGTGTTCTGGCTCCTGACCCACAGAAACTGTGAGCTAATAAATGTGTATTGTTTTAAGCCACCATGTTTGTGGTAATATTGTTACACACCAATAGATAATTAACACACCCTTCCATCAAAGCTGCTTATACATAATTCATTAGCCACAATGTCTGCTCATGCCCCCAGGGGCCCAACCCAAATTGCCTGTGTGGATGCCTGCTCTTTTTGCAAACAAGAAAGACACCTGTAGGACCCCCTCGTCCATTGGTCATAGGTGAGGTCGTTGGTACCCACTGAGGCTATGGTTGGGAAAGCCTCCAGCTTCAGCATTTGGGTGGGACTTTGGTGAGACTGACAGCACTGAGGCCCAGGGGTATTACAGGTATATCTAGCAAACATGGGCCCAAGCAAAAACTAGTGTGGGTCACCTCCAACATGCAATACAAAGATTCTCTTCCTTTTCTCTGTGAGCAGAGAAATTGGCATGGCTAAACAATGGCATGGTTCTTTATAAAAGTGAGAGCAGTCAGGCGTGGTGGCTCACGCCTGTAATCCCAGCACTTTGGGAGGCCAAGGCAGGTGGATCACAAGGTCAGGAGTTTGAGACCAGCCTGGTCAACATGGTGAAACCCCATCTCTACTAAAAATACAAAAATTAGCCAGACTTGGTGGTGTGCACCTGTAATCCCTGCCACTCAGGAGGCTGAGGCAGGAGAATCACTTGAACCCAGGAGGCGGAGGTTGCAGTGAGCCAAGATTGTGCCACTGCACTCCAGCCTAGGCGACAGTGTGAGAGTCTGTCTCAAAAAAAAAGTGAGAACAATATACAAGCTCATCGAAGAAAAGAGGCTAGCACCTTACTCCCTTAGGAAATGCAGTTTCCATATTCCAGATGGCATTCAGAGGTTCCCAAGACATCCCTGACTTGGTGAACCTGCCTGCTAGTACCCAGTTGGAACTCAGATTAAAGACTTGAGCCCAGGCAAAGCTCACAGATCCCCAGAGCCCACCCTTTTATTCTGTTCCTTTCCTCTTGCCTCTTTCCCTGTCTCTCTCTTTCCCATAATCCCCTCTGAGATCTTCATTTAGTCCAGCCCAAGGGTGGCCGTGTCAAGGGTAGAATTTCATTGCAACAGCATTTCTCAGACCAACTGGAGCCAATCAAAGTCGAGATTTGACCCAGTGACCTTTGACCGCAGGAACAATTAGATGCCCCCTCCAGCTATGCATTGTCATCATGGATATAGATTCACCACTGACAGTATGACCAGTTGTTGGCATTTATTCTGCACAGATCTTATATGTTGGGGCTTTGAGAAATTTTTAAAGACATTTGTTCTCCTTTTGATATTTATTTCACCTGAGTGGGAATGTTAGAGAATGTTGCTAGATCCAGCACTGGACATTGTTAGTGCTAGAAGGAAACAGACACAGTTTGGATTTTCTTGAATACTAAGCAAGACTCTTAGCTTACTTCTCACCCTTCCCAGCTGCCCCAAGCATTGATGTAGCACCTCTTTAGTCAATAAAATAGAACTCACTAAAGCACCCAGTTTCTGATAGAGTCCATACTTGCCCCCGCCTCCTCGGGGCCCAGGGTTACCATCATATGCCCTTTACATAACTGACTACAGCATTCACAATCTTCAGGGAGCATGGGAAAAAGAAAACCTTCTTGTCAAAAAAGATAACAGATCCGTGAAAACCATCCTCCAGGTGGTACCATGTCACGCGGACCCCTTGGTCCTCCAAGCGCTTCTTATAGAGCAAGCTGTCATCACGGAGTATGTCATTCTCACAGCTCACCAGGAAAGACTCAGGCAGCTGAGCAATGACCTCATCATCTGCTATCAGGGGTGAATTTTCTACATCCAGCATATGTTTGGCTTCTAAATAGGCAGCTTCATTAAAAGGGCCGGGAGACCAGGGTTGGTAGCCTCTGTTCTTAAATTTCTTGGGGATGTTGTCAGGGCTGAGCCACTTCTCGTACTTCCTCCAGACATCTGGGGGTACACAAGTGCCATTCAAGATGGCATCACGCCAGGAGAGGTCAATGGCCAGATAGTTACACATAGAAGTCACCAAGAACTTCCGGGAAAGAAATGGGACGTTCTGGTTCTGCTGATAGGATGGCAACTGCAGACAGAATGCCTGGACAAATGGGTAAATCAGAACCTGAGCCCGAATCCGGGGAAGATCTGATCTGCCCATCAAGGCCTGGGTGATGGCAGCCACCACTGCGCCTCCGACGCTGTCTCCACAGACCACAACCCTGGAAGGGTCCACCCCATAGGTTTCCAGGGCCTTCAGGAAGTGAATGGAGGCATTCATGCAGTCTTGGAAAAGGGCGGGGGAATGGTGGTCAGGAACCTTGCGGTACCTAAAAGGAAAACAGGGAGCAACAGGACACCAGTGTGGACAGTGTTGCTAGGGAGCTGTTTCAACAGAATCCTCAACCCCCTTACAAGACTGTGTCTGATTAAATCCTCAGAATAACCCTATGAAGTAAGGATTTCATCCCCATTGTCTTCCTATGAGCATGTGAGGAACCTGCCTAAAGTCATACAGGCCAGGATTCTTCACTCCAAACCTGTGCCCTGTCAGCTTCCGATAAACTCCATATGAGGTGATGCAACTTTGTTTTCATTGAAGCTATTTGCTTTGGGAGCAAAACAACCAACAATGGCTGAAAAAAAAGTCAAATGAAACCACTACCAATCCCACTGCCTGTCTGTAGAGAAAGGGAGAGAGAACACTAAAGTTAAAGTCAAGAGGAAGTTACTGTCAGGCAGAATTTTTTTTTTAATCAAAAATCTAGGCCAGGCAAGGTGGCTCACGCCTGTAATCCCAACACTTTGGGAGGCTGAAGCAGGCAGATCACAGGGTCAGGAGATCGAGACCATCCTGGCTAACACGGTGAAACCCCGTCTCTACTAAACAAAATACAAAAAATTAGCCGGGCCTGGAGGCAGGCACCTGTAGTCCCAGCTACTCAGGAGACTGGCCTGAACCCGGGAGGCGGAGCTTGCCATGAGCCTAGATCGTGCCACTGCACTCCAGTCTGGGAGACAGAACGAGACTCTATCTCAAAAACAAAAAATCTAATTTAAAAAAATTGGCTAGGCATGCATGGTGGCACACACCTGTAGTCTCAGCTACCCAGGAGGCTGAGGCAGGAGGATTGCTTGAGCCAGAAGTTTGAGGCAGCAGTGAGTTGTGATTACACCACTGCACTCCAGTGTGGGAGGTGAGAGGGGCAGGGAGTGAAACTGAAGGTGCAGTGTAGAGACGGAAAGCTAGCCCGGAAATCCACAGCTCAAGCTGCAGAAGACCCAGGTGCCAGTGGCTGGTGAAGAACACTAGGGGGTTGGTCTTAAGTATCCTGAGGTTTGGTTTCCAAAGTATGTCTACTCAAAGAAATTCAAGGGCAAAGAAAAGGAACTTTAAAATGAGCTTTTAAAAACAGTAATGAACAAGCTAATTAATGCGTAAATTGAGATTAAGATAATAGAAAGGAATAAAAAAATAGAAATAGTTCGGCTTAACTGATTGGAGCAGAGAGTTTATCTAAACAATTGTTCTCTTAAATGTTAAGTTGAAGTTGTTGCTAATCATCTTTTCTATTCTTACAATCTATCATTGAAAACATCAAGGCCGGGTGGTGACTCACACCTGTAATCCCAGCACTTTGGGAGGCCGAGGATCACTTAACCTCAGGAGTTCAAGACCAGCCTGGACAACATGATGAAACCTCATCTCTACTAAAAATACAAAAATTAGCGGAGTGTGGTGGTGGGAGCCTGTAATCCCAGGCACTCAGGAGGCTGAGGCAGGAGAATCACTTGAACCCAGGAGGCGGAGGTTGCAGTGAGCCAAGATTGTGCCACTGCACTCCAGCCTGGAAGACAGAGTGAGACTCCATCTCAAAAAAAAAGAAAAAGGAAAGAAAACATCAAAAAGGTATATTCTAATTATCACATTAAATTTGGAAGAAGTTCATAAGGAAAAATAACATCTTAGACTAGTTGCTTTCAACTTAGAACAACAAAATTATTTTTTTTCTTAGAAGAAAAAAATGATGTAAGAACCCCACTGTATAAAATAAACAAATGCAGTTGTTCTGGTTTTGCCCAAGGGTAAGGAACATAAGCTCTCATTCTTTCTCCTTCTTCTTTGACCTCCATAGCTGCTTCTAAGACATCACAGGGAACCCTAGGGCTCAAAAGAACCAGTTTGAAAACCACTGTCTTCCCTTAGACTTTGAATTTTGTTTCCTTTAAAAGTTAATTTAACACCTCATCTTTCAAAATAGGGTTTGATTGATTGCAGCATAGTGTGGTACCCATCTAGGAAACAATTATCACCCAGTAATCTTATTGCCTATTTCCTAGATGGTCAATATATTGATAAATCTATCAATGTTATCAAAGCAGGTTCCCATTTAAGCTCACGCAAAACACATGCTTCTCAGAGGGTCCTTGCAGGGAGGTAGCCCCTGCACCTGGTAGCAGTGAGTACAAACCTCAGCTTTCATTTTCCCATTTCTAGAAATGAATACTCCTCACTAAATGTTGAACCTATGACTCCAACATGATGAAGGGGATAACAAATATTAGGTGCTTTCTATGGGCAAAATCTCTGACCTGCCAGAAAGAGGCAGAAATTCTCCTGTGCCTCCCTGCACTCCTCTCTTGCTCACTGTGATAGATTGAATGTGTATGTCCCCCTAAAATTCCTGTGTTGAAATCCTACACTGCAATGTGAGGGTATTAGGAAGTGGGGCCTTAGGAAAGTGATCAGGTCATGAGGGTGGAGCCCTCATAAATGGGATTAGTGCCCTTGTGAAGGAGGCTTTAGAGAGCTCTCTGGCTTCTCTTTCTGCCATGTTAGGATATAAGGAGACGCTGGCAGTCTACAGCCTGGAAAAGGGTCTTCACCAGAGCCTAACCACGCTGACACCCTGATCCTGGACTTGTAGCCTCCAAAACTGTGAGAAATCGACGTGTTGTTTAAGCTACCCCATCTATGGTAATTTGTTATAGCAGCCCAAACTAAGAAACTCACCCAGAGGTGAAGGCTTTGCAGAACCAAAGATCAAAAGACCTATCTTCTCCAAGAGCTTGGGTAGGGAGTCCCAACCAGGCCTTAGACATCTCCCTTCCTTCAGTGTATCTCAGGGAGTCTCCTCCCAGCTACTGTCTCCCTGCAGCCTCCTAGAAGCCCTTATCTGTGCATGCAGCTCCATCAGCCACTCTATCAAAACTGCCCTGGCCCGTGCACTGGGTCTAAGTATCTGGGATAATGGTATCCTAAGGAATTTTCTACAATGTATTAATGCATGTGCTTATTGATACTTTTATGTGCTACCTGTTCAAGGGATGTTTTTATTATCACAAAGGTCTTTGGTGACATAGACTGTAATGGTGCAATTTCAGACACAATGGTAAGCCACCTGGGAGGTATGTTGATGAATACTAGAAAGTACTGGCTTCCTCAGTCTCATCAGACAGGACCAGAGATGTTAAGTGACTTTGTTTAAGTCACACAGTTATTCTGTCTACCAAAGCCTATGGGCAGCTAAGGTTTGAGGAGGTCCATTGTAGAGGCAGAATGTAAAAAGGCAGATTTCAATTTCTCTCACTGGCCTTCTCTAAACTCTTTCCCAGTGATGTGAGATCTCTTGGGCCAAGAACCAGAATCCTAGTGAGTAGCCCTTACTGCCCCCTCCATCCACTCTAAAGATGCCCCCATCTCCCTTTTGTTTTTATAGGACCAGGGTTGTATCTTAAGACACTCTCAACACTAGTTCCTGCAGGATCAGAAGCTTAGTTGGTTTTTAACAATGCAATAAGCACCTGCAGAGCCATCACCCCAAACAACAGCTAGAATCTTGACCATCACCTTCACCAAACCCACCATCATGCCATTTTGCTTCTCCCCCAACTTAATGAATGGTTACCCTGAATCCTGTATCTATCATTTTTTTCTTTCTATGTTACATTATCTTATTGTGTCTATGTGTATTCCTCAGAAGTATTCTTTTGGTTTTGATGTTTTTACCTTTGCAAAATGAGTATCAGGCTTTATGTAATTTTTTGAAAATGTTTCACTTAGTTTTATACTACTAAGATTCATTTGCAATATGGTACACCTTTCTAGTTCATTTATTTAAATAGCTATGGAACATTCTATATCTTCATGGCTATGTAATCTAACAGTTGCTATAGTGTGGTTTATTCATGCATGCCCCTGTTCATGGACACGAGGGTTGTTTCCAGGTTTTTGCTCTTTCGAGCACTGCCGCACCCGTCTCTGTGGATGCGTGTCCAAGAGTTGTCTCTTGGGAGTTAGGGCCTCTCTGATCTACAAATCACCCATGAACTTACCCTATCTCCTCTCACCCCTGTTGAACCTACCAGCTGTCTCCAGCAACTCACCCAATCATCAGAAGTACAGAGTCAGTCTCCCGGGCCAGATAATTGCATAGGCCATGGTAACAATCTGCAAGACAAAAACAGTCAGAACAGTAGCCCGTGAGTAGGACCCAGACCATCTCACCACAGCCCCCAGGAAGAGCCAGCTGACAATCTTGGTGTAGGGTGTGGCATCCTCTCTGTTTCTGTCCTTGCCTCCTCTGCCTGGGCAGAGCCAACAAGCCAGGCCATATCAGACATCTGTCCCCAACCTCCTGAATTTTGGGGCTCAAGTGCACCTTGGGGCTCACTTTCTGCAACATTTATTTTACAGTGGAGGAAACCAGGAACCTGGCAATCTTAGTGATCTGAAATGGACAAAACCAAGGGAAGTTAGGCATGCCTGCCCTAGGATATTAATAATAACTATATATTTATATTGATCAAGAAATAAACAAGGGTTGGACGAGATGTTTCTATTAGTAGAGTGGTGCATATGAAGTTCTCAGAGGCAGGTCCATTCATACGAGTATGTAGAACATACTAGCACAGTGGCAGACATAGAATCACTGCCAAATACACTTCTAATTCAGTCATTCTCAACTTCAGCCATACATAGAGGTACCAGGGAGTTTTTACAAGTCCTCAGGCCCAGGCTAAACCTCAAACCAATTAAATCAGAATCTCTAGGGTGGAAGCTCAGGCATCAGGATTTTCTAAATCATACCAGGTAATTCCAGGGTGCGGGGAAGGTTGCTGAAGTAGGTACATGCTTCATTAATGCTCTTTGAGGGAGGTGACAATGATTCTGAATGGAGCCAGAGGCACAGAGGGGTCTAAACTGAGTCGGAGCAGTCAGCCCCTAAGTTGAAGTTTCCATGCTAGTAGGTCTCAGTCCTGGGTGCACATTGCAGTCATCTGATGAGCTGTTTAAAAATACTGATGCCCTGGCTCATGCCTGTAATCCCAGCACTTTGGGAGGCCAAGGCGGGTGGATCATGAGGTCAGGAGTTTGAGATCAATCTGGCCAATATGGTGAAACCCCATCTCTACTAAAAATACAAAAATTAGCCAGGCATGGTGGCACATGCCTATAGACCCAGCTACTCAGGAGGCTGAGGCAGAAGAATTGCTTGAACTTGGGAGGCAGAGGTTGCGGTGAGCCGAGATCACACCAGTGCACTCCAGCCTGGGTGACAGAGCAAGACTCCATCTCAAAAAAAAAAAAAAAAAAAAAAAAATGCTGATGTCTGGGTCCTGCCCATTTAGCCTGCGGTACGACCTGGGTGTGGATATGACTTTAAAATTCCCAGGTGATTTTAAGGCCCAGCCAAAGTGGAGACCTCTGCTAGCCATGATCGGGGCCAATCTGGGTGTCATCTTCCCAGTGTAACCCAGACATTCCTCCTTTCCCAAGCGTGTCAGGTCATCCCTGTTTCAGAAATTTGCACTTACTGCCCCTTCCACTTAGACTCAATAGGGCCGGGACTAGGGTGAGGTAGGCAAGATATCCGCCTTGGGTGCACAATCAAGGGGGCCCCACAACACTCAGCCATACAGAAAAAATAACATTTGGACGCAATTAAGAAATCACAATTAATGCCAAAAAATTTCATGATGTCCAAAATATCAAAATTTTAAATAGGCTTGGCTGGGTGCAGTGGCTCACACCTGTAATCCCACACTTTGGGAGGCCAAGGCAAGAGGACCACTTAAGCCCGGGAGTTAGAGACCAGGCTGGGCAATACAGCAAGACCCTGTCTCTGTAAAAATAATTAGGCCAGGCACAGTGGCTCACTCCTGTAATCTCAACACTTTGGAAGGCCAAGGTGGGGGGATCACTTGAGCCCAGTAGTTCAAGACCAGCCTGGCAACATAGGGAGACCCTGTCTCTACATATAATTTAAAACTTAGCCAGGCATGGTGGTATATGCCTGTGGTCCCAGCTACTAAGGAGGCTGAGGCAGGAGGATCACCTGAGCCCAGGAAGTTGAGGCTGCAGTGAGCCATAATTGCATCACTGCACTCCAGCCTGGACAACAGAGTGAGACCTTGTCTCAAAATAAATAAACAAACAAACAAATACATAATTACCTGGGGGTGGAGGTGCCTGCCTGTGGTCCCACTACTTGGAAGGCTGAAGCAGGAGGATTGCTTGAGCCCAAGAGTTGGATGCTGCAGTGTGCTGTGATCACGCCACTGCACTCCAGCCTGGGTGACAGTGCAAGACCCTGTCCTTAAAAAGTATATGTGTATAGGGCCGGGCGCGATGGCTCAAGCCTGTAATCCCAGCATTTTGGGAGGCCGAGGCGGGTGGATCACAAGGTCAGGAGATCGAGACCATCCTGGCTAACACGGTGAAACCCCGTCTCTACTAAAAAATACAAAATACTAGCTGGGCGAGGTGGCGGGCACCTGTAGTCCTTGCTACTTGGGAGGCTGAGGCAGGAGAATGGCATAAACCCGGGAGGCAGAGCTTGCAGTGAGCTGAGATCCGGCCACTGCACTCCAGCCCGGGCGACAGAGCGAGACTCCGTCTCAAAAAAAAAGAAAAAAAAAAAAAAAAAAAAAAAAAAAAAAAAAAAAAAATATATATATATATATGTGTGTGTGTGTGTGTGTGTGTGTGCAACATAGTTTCTACTTTCTTTTCTTTTTTTTTTTTGAGGACGAGTCTCACTCTGTCGCCCAGGCTGGGGCAGTGGTGACCCTCGCTCACTGCAGCTCCGCCTCCTGAGTTCGCGCCAGGCCCTGCCTCAGCCTCCTGAGCAGCTGGGACTGTAGGCACTCGCCACCACGCCTGGCTAATTTTTTGTATTTTTAGTACAGACGGGGTTTCACCGTGTTGGCCAGGATGGTCTGGATCTCCTGACCTCGTGATCCTCCCGCCTCGGCCTCCCAAAGTGCTGGGATTACATGGAGGCCACTGTGCCCAGCCACAGGCTTCTACTTTTCACTTGCACACTTGGTCTGCCCTGTTGGGTCCTGCCTGTGTATATATTTTGACATTTTGTTCATCATAATTGTTTTGCATTAATATTTGGTTTTTTAAACATTGCCTTAAAATATTACTTATCTTGATGAATGAATGTTTTGGCATCCACTGAATCTAAAGCCTGAAGCAAGGTTCCCCCCAGCCCTGACCTCTTAAAAGGTTCTTCTCCAGCTTCCAAAGGGCCAGATCTCTCATCCATTGAGCCTCAGCTCAAATCTGACTGATGAGAAGAGCTAAATCGGAATGATGCTGTGAGTCATTCTCCATGCCACCTATATTGTCATGATCTGCAGTAACTTGCAGTGTCCAGGCTTCTCCTCAGATGACTGTCAGGTCCATGAGGCCAGAACTGGGTTCTGTTCCCATGACAACAGATCCTACAAGAGAATGTCCATCATCACTTCCACTACCAAGGTCAGTACATCCTAATCTCGGGGAAGTTAAGTGGTACTGGGAGAAGCCCACCTTTTCCTATGGGCAAATTTTTCTCGCGTGTGTCCATGCATCCATCCATACATCCATATCCATTTGTTCATTCGCAAGCTCATCCTTTCATCCACTTATTCCCCCATCCATCTATTTATTCGTGCATTCATTCATTCAATTCAAAAATGAAAACAGGCACTGGTGATCCAGCAACAAACAAACTGCCTGCACTCTTCATTTTTAATGGGGAATCAAGTACTAAATAAGGAAACCCATGAAAGAACAAAATGAGCTCCGACTGCCAAGCACCTGAAGAAAATTAACAAAGGATGAAGCCGGGTGGAGACAGGGGTGCAGAGCAGGGCAGCATAAGCGCCGGGGGCGGAGACAGGGGTGCAGAGCAGGGCAGCGTGACGCCGGTGAGACAGGGGTGCAGGGCAGGCAAAGGCCAGCGCCAAGAGTGGAGAGACAGGGGTGTAGGGCAGGCAGCAGTCAGCAGGGAGAGTTCTTAGATAAGATGTCCTGGAGGGTAAGTGACAGGAATAACACAGGATGGTTACAGGAGAATAGAAAATTCCAGGCCGGGTGGTGGCTCACGTGTAATCCCAGTACTTTGGGAGGCCAAGGCGGGCAGATCACCTGATGTCGGGAGTTCGATACCAGCTTGGCCAACACGGCGAAACTCCGCCTACTAAAAATACAAAAATTATCCAGGTGTGGTGGCACGCACCTGTAATCCCAGTTACTTGGGAGGCTGAGGCACTCCAGACCCGCTTGAATCCAGGAGGTGGAGGTTGCCGTGAGCTGAGATTGTGCCACTGCACTCCAGCCTGGGAGACAGAGTAAGACTCTGTTGAAAGAGAAAGGGAAGGGAAGGGGAGGGGAGAAGGATGGGAAAGAAAGAAAGAAAGAAAGAAAGAAAGAAAGAAAGAAAGAAAGAAAGAAAGAAAGAAAGAAAGAAAGAAAGAAAGAAAGAAAGAAAGAAGAAAGAAAGAAAGAAAGAAAGAAAGAAAGAAAGAAAGAAAGAAAGAAAGAAAGAAAGAAAGAAAGAAAGAGAAGGGCGACAGAGCGAGACTCCGTCTCAAAAAAAAAATATATATATATATATGTGTGTGTGTGTGTGTGTGTGTGTGTGTGTGTGTGTGTGTGTGTGTGTATAAACAGGCTTCTACTTTTCTTTTCTTTTTTTTTTTTTTTTGAGACGGAGTCTCACTCTGTCGCCCAGGCTGGGGTGCAGTGGTGCAATCTCGGCTCACTGCAAGCTCCGCCTCCTGAGTTCATGCCATTCTCCTGCCTCAGCCTCCTGAGCAGCTGGGACTGTAGGCACCCGCCACCACGCCTGGCTAATTTTTTTGTATTTTTAGTACAGACGGGGTTTCATCGTGTTGGCCAGGATGGTCTTGATCTCCTGACCTCGTGATCCGCCAGCCTCGGCCTCCCAAAGTGCTGGGATTACAGGCGTGAGCCACTGTGCCCAGCCACAGGCTTCTACTTTTCACTTGCACACTTGGTCTGCCCTGTTGGGTCCTGCCTGTGTATATATTTTGACATTTTGTTCATCATAATTGTTTTGCATTAATATTTGGTTTTTTAAACATTGCCTTAAAATATTACTTATCTTGATGAATGAATGTTTTGGCATCCACTGAATCTAAAGCCTGAAGCAA